ATATTTTTTATGTGTGTCATAAGTGTTTTTTGGTTTGATACATATTAATATCGGAAAGGTCACAAAGGTCAATGGGTCTCATTCATGAAACACGAGCAGAACGAATTGTGTTAATCGTGTGTAAAGTGGTTCTGGCGTAAATTTTCGGATTCATTAAAATGTTCGTATTTTCCAAATGTTAGTTTCGTACCGAAAGAAATCTACACCTGCTCGCCACGCGTAAATAGTGAGTTTAACATCCGAACGTTTTGCTCATTAATAACTAAGGCTGAATTTTAATTCACCTTAATCGGGTACATATTTACACAGCATTTTGGAAAAATATTATATATAGTAATTACATACGGTTTTTCTTTTTACTTTTGGGATTGTTTGATTAACAGATGAAACTCCATTAACTGCATCTGTAATATGCTGCCAAGTTTCCTTTTTTTAGGACCTGATACGCCACCTATGCTTGAAAATAAAATGTGGTGTTTTGAATGAACTTCTGACTACTCACCGGACATGTCACCCATTGAGCATGTTTGGGATGCTCTGGATAGGCGTATACGACAGTGTGTTCCAGGTCCTGCCAATATCCAGCAACTTTGCACAGCCATTGAAGAGGAGTGGACCAACATTCCACAGGCCACAATCAACAACCTGATCAACTCTATGTGTTGCACTGCGTGAGGCAACTGACTGGTTTTCGGATGGATTATCTCGGCAAAGGAGAAGTGCTCACTAACACAGATTTAGACAGATTTGTGAACAATATTTGAGAGAAATAGGCCTTTTGTGTACATAGAAAAAGTCTTAGATCTTTGAGTTCAGCTCATAAAAAATGGGGGCAAAAACAAAAGTGTTGCGTTTATAATTTTGTTCAGTGTATACAGTATAAATATATCACTGATTCTTGAGATAAGGGACAAAAGTATTTTTTTTATTATTTAATAATACATTATTATAAACTAATATATTTGTAGACAAAGGTCTCAGCTAATGAATGTAAGAGAACAGGTTTTTCTGAAAATGTCTTTTTCTAAAAATGTACATTTATTCACTTCATAACTTCATCAGATTCATTAAAAGGCATGCTATTTTAATCTGATTCATCCAACAAAAGTGTAAAATCGTCCGTTATGTATAATGGGGTTCAGTAAAGGAGCTAAGTGAAAAAATACATTGTCTAAATTTTTTTCCTGGGTTAGGGTTATTATGAACAATCCAGTTCCTAAATTCCTTTATTCTCTGCCCTCCTTTTTAATATTAAACATATATAACCAATATTCTTAAATCAGGCATAATATCATGTAGTTCAGTTAATGTTTTAATATTTTAACACAATAAATGGAAAAAATAAATATTTTAGAAATCTTAACAGAAACTTTCATCTGACGGTGTTAAATACTAAGGAAGTTGAATAAACTGACGGAGTTGATGAAGGTCCAACTGAAGTTACAACAACTGATTGACGAGACAACAAATTAAGACAACTATAGGGTGAATTGCCCTAATGTGGGATATTTTTAAAATTTCAGACTTCTGTAACATATTGCGATGTGTAGCCAAAACATTAAATCCACACCCAATTCAGATAACAGAGAAAAAACATAAGAGAAAATTCAGATAACACATTCATAAGAGAAATTATAGACATATTAGTGCTCTTAGTGCAAGTCGTCTGAGACTATCTGCAGCTTCCTAATGTGGGACAGTTGTGTCCCTAATGTGGGACACTGAAAGATCTATGATAAAAGGCCCAAAACCACCTTGATTCATGTAGAATAGTAAAATCTTCTTAAGTTAGTAATTTTTAAATATTTAATTTATTACAACAATCCTTCCAGTGGTTTGTTTTTCTACTTTTAGCGGTACAGTACGTCTCATTCTGGGTCTCAAGAAGCTCACAGAATAAGACGCATACTGTAATGTTAGGTGGTGTGCAATGGGAAGCATTATTATGTGCCGCATAGCAGCAACAAAAATGTTCCCAATGTGAATCCAAAGAATCTGTAGCCTGTCTTTAAACCGCATCAATTTCGTACATTTTATTTGTGCTGACATGCATGACTTAAGCATGGGAAACTGGCATGTTCGCTTATGAAGTCCATTACATCAGGGTTTGCTATTGCTGTGATCTCATGTGAGTGACAGGTTATAAAAAAAAAGAAAAAAGAAGTAGATGATGTGTACAAATTAATTATCTATAATAAGAACGGCAATATTTCATTAAAAATAGGATCATCAATTTTGAATTCATGGTGACAGTAGATGTAAAGATATGTATAAGGCATGTAAATCAGGCCAAATACTGTATATATGTAAATAAAATCATGAAACAACATTAGAATAATTCCCCATATGCAAAAAATGTATATATATATATACATATATGTGTATGGTTAAACTTTATTTTAAGGTGATGTAGTTACACACTCAAATAAGTATTGAGTAATACTAATTAACTACTTACTATACGGTTAGGGTTTGGTTTAGGGTTAGTTACTTTTAATTATGCATAATTTATTGTTATTAGTAGTAAGTACACGTGTAACTATGTCACCTTAAAATAAAGTGTTACCAAAATTAAATATAATATCACTATATAAAGAGTTTTGTGAGTATTTGTCAACTCCATCAGCTTACAAGTCAACTCTGTCAGACATAAAACCTCATGGAATTGACAAAACTGAATATTTTGCTACCTTAACCACATGTTGTGGAGAAATGTTCTATTCTTCCTCAGTTGTAGTTGCCTTAATTATAACAATGCCTAGATTTATCCCACAACTATTTACAGAAACTATTACATTACACCGGGATGACGGAGTTAACATGTTAAAGCTGTGACCGCATAAACTTCAACATTGTTTGTATAAAAGACAAAAAATTACAAAACTTCCAGAACTATGTGTCCTATACCACATTGAGCAGGAAATAGGATAGGGTTCCTCAGAGTTAAAGATGACCATGAAATTGCCTGATTTATTCAGAATGATAAAAAAAAAATCCTGAGTTGGATCCTCAGGGTGCAACTTTGATGGGCCTTTCAATTTAAATGTAGGCCTATATTTTAAACACTTTGTTAGGCAGTTTTACATTGTGACCTCTTTCTGAGGACAGTTTAAATTACAGGTTAAATGTATTTTCCAAGTATTTGCATGTCTTTAAAATAATACTAAATAAATTATTTAAAGGGTTAGTTCGCCCATTTAAGACATGAAGTTGTATGCAATCCTTACCAGCACTATAGGTCATACACACTGACCCACTCTGTTGTCACCTCCCTGGTCAGAGTTCTGGCCGCTGGAAGTTTTTCAATAAAGTACTCCCGGTTATTTTCCGGGGCCACAAAACTGTGCGTTTTTACGTGAAAAAATGATTTGCGTTTCAAAGCTTGATTAATTTACCACACAAAAAACACGCCGGTCAAAATTCATACCTCAGTTTTAATCGGCACTATTTTCTATCCATTTCTATCAATCCGCGCTGCTGCTGTAAACGTCAACAGTGCGCACGTTCCGATCAGCTGTTCCATAGTGTTTACACAATCGATTGACAACGACGTAAAAAGTATTAAATTAGCAATTTAAAGTGCGAACTTGTAAATTCCCAGGCTGTTACCACAAGGATGTGCCGGGATCAAAGTTCAGATTCCATCGTTTTCCTGTTTCGAATATAACTAGAGACAGCTACCGAGCATAATCTCCATCTGCTGTTAGTCGGCCTCACCAGCAGGGGGTGCAAGCGCGTGTTGTTGGCTGGTTGCCATCGGCTAACGTTACTCATATTTCAAAATGCGTATAGATAACACGCCACTTGAATTGAAAGTGGCGTGTATGTTTACGCAAAGTCATGATGTCATGTTGCAGAGAATAAAGGATTTTCGTGTGTGTAGTGCTCACTTCAGCGAAGACGATTACATCCCCAACCAAGGAGGAAAAGGACAATTAAAGAGTTTTGCTGTAGCATACCAGTAACACGGGTAAGCTCTATTTACTAACTTTATGATCCCATGTCTAAACTGTACGGTAAACAAGCTGATGTTTAGACTCCATTATAAAACACGTGAAAAGATGTCTAATATAAAAACAGTATAGCCTATAGGGATATTGGTACAATTTGCTGAGAAAACTATTTGATTGAACACACACACAATTGAGGTTTTGTGTTGCAATCAATAACATTGTCGTTGTGCTAAAATTACTTTCATCATCTGATCCGTCTGACATTGTGCTAAAATTGGTTTCATCATCAGAAGTTTCGCAGTCAGACATGTTGTCAGCGAGTCGCGTTATCAACAGCTGATCGGAACGTGCGCACTGTTGACGTTGACAGCAGCGCGGATTGATAGAAATGGATAGAAAATAGTGCCGATTAAAACTGAGGTATGAATTTTGACCGGCGTGTTTTTTGTGTGGTAAATTAATCAAGCTTTGAAACGCAAATCATTTTTTCACGTAAAAACGCACAGTTTTGTGGCCCCGGAAAATAACCGGGAGTACTTTATTGAAAAACTTCGAGCGGCCAGAACTCTGACCAGGGAGGTGACAACAGAGTGGGTCAGTGTGTATGACCTATAGTGCTGGAAAGGATTGCATACAACTTCATGTCTTAAATGGGCGAACTAACCCTTTAAAAATAAAAGTAATGAATGTAATGAGTATCCACATTTCCTTTAGATTCAACTTTTTATTTTGATGAATTTCTTTATTTTTAACACAAAGAGGGCTTCTGTGTGTACGGCACGTTTTTTCCCTTATCTCAAGAATATAGTGATATATATATCACTGATTCAACCTCACCTGGAAAAAAAGAATCAGTAGTGTGTGTATATATATATATATATATATATATATATATATTTATTTATTTATTATTATTAATTTCAATTCAGTCTGTCTTGTGGCCCAATAACTTTTCTCTTAATAATGCTGGGAAACTGTTCTAAACTGTTCTCTCTTTCCGCTGGTATCAATCTACAGAACCGCGTAAACAAGCGCGTGAGTCCCCCGCCCCTTCTCTGCGCGAGCGCTCCTCTCTCTGCGCGTGCTGCTGCCAGTTCCGTGTCGGCCGCGAGTTTACCAGCCACGCACTGCCTGCACGCGCTCAATCCACCGCCGGGCTGTAACGGTGTGACTCTCTCTGGCTTCCAGAACCCCCCCTTTTCAGTCTCCATTAACGGCCCAGCACAGAGCGAGGCGAGGGGATACGTAACGGTGAGTGTATTTCGGATGGCTACGGAACGTGGGAATCTGCGCTACGTTATCGGTTTGGGGACACTGTCACACCGAATGTGTGTAAAGTTTGGGGAGGGGAGAAATTGTGTCATGTGGTAAGACAGAGGCTGTGTGCCCGCCAGTCCGCTCTAGTGGAGCAGACAGATACATAATTATAGAATGTAAAAACGACGTCGCGCGAGACGAGCTCAACTTACCATGTGTTATAATTTCCATGGGGATGACGTCACGCAGTCCTTGACGCCGTGCGCGCAGCTTGCGCTGATGAGATAACGGGACTGTGACACACTGCGCGTTTCTGATGCACACTAAAAGCTTCATAGGAACAGGCTATTGGTTTATAATGCGTTTAAAATGGATACTAACAAACAATCCATTCGTGTTAGTTATTATTCACATAGCAGCCTGTGTGAGTTGCTGTTTTCCTCTTATACAAATATGTATTACATAAAAGGCAGAGAGCATCGTAAGGAGTACGTCATCGTTAGAAATGATTGACCGATGGCGTTGTTTCTGAAACACAGTAACAGTGCATGTAAACGTGTAAATCTGTAAAAAGTTTAACCCTCAGAGACCCAAGTAGCCTATTTACAATTGTATGTTCTCGTTCCCGTGTTGAAAGTGCTTTAGAAAGCTGCTAGTTATAAAAATAATTATTTTAAAGCATATTTTGTTTTTGATGTGAATTTTGACATGGCAAAAATGCTGGACTTTCACAACTGTTTACGATCATAGGCAGGCTCCTTATACTGTGAGGACTTCATATAGTGCCATGCTGTTGGGGCATGTTGTCACAATGGGGTCAGTTGTGACTACTGATTTTAAATCTTTGATTTACTGATTTTCAGTCTATTTTTCATTTGCTTAACATAAAGAACAGTTCAAATGCTTACTTGAAAAATAGATAGGCTATTTGTTACAAAAAAGTTAACAATTGTGTTAATAGGCAGTAAGCTTTTGTGTGACTCTCGAAAGCTGTATGATATTTTTGTTTTTCGCCAAAACATTTGCTGTGATAGTTCAGAGTGTTACTCTAAACTAAAATAAATAGGTGTAAATACATTGTTTAATCAAGCATTGCAATTTAGCTATAGGCCACATGCCTTGGTGCAACACTTCTAATAACCTCTAAGTGATTGATATGATGCTAATGGCGCTTTTCCACTGCATGGTAGCCTACGGTACGGCACGCTTTGGCGCTTTTCCACTGCATGGTACGGTAGGCCTACGGCTCGGCTCGGTACGGCTCACTTGTGGCGCTTTTCCACTGCATGGTAGGCTAGTACGGTACGGCTTGCTTTAAATGGTACCACCTCTGTTGAAATCCTTCGTTTCGTGTCATAATATGATGCAGTCGGATATATGGGCGGGATTTATGGTAATTGAGAATGAGCGTGCACGCGCGTCCCATTTACGATTGATTGGAATTCATTAACACACACACACACATTTCACTATCACATCTGACGTTTACGAAGTATTTGTGAATCAGGAGATGAGTTTTCGGGAAGGTCTCTTTACGCGCAAATCACTCTCATATTTACTCGTATATTTACGAATGTTTCATGAATGAGACCCAATAATTTTAAATAGGCAAGACTTTGTTGTGTGTGCATTTGATGCAAAAGAAAGAGGGCCTCAATATCCTGCTGGATCTGGTGGTTATATTGTGGCCAAGCCAATGAAAACTCAAAAGAACTCTTGAAATGACGCACCCTTCGCTTTTCCCGTCTCTCCTGACAGGGACTTTCCTAAAAGTTTTCAGACTGAAAGAAGGTTCAGCTCAAGTCTGGTTTGAGTTGGACTGGTTTCAAAACATAATGTGTGGTGTAATCATTTTTGATACTTTGCTTGTCGTGTGGAGTCATAATATGTAACTGAAAATTCACACTAAAAGTCGGTTGATATTCTTACAATAACCTTTATATATGTTTTTTTTTAATTCTAGGATCACTCTCTCACCAATAATGTCTTCAGATCAGAGTTACAACTGCCTCAAAACTGAGGCAATGATGAAATCACCGTGGCAACCCTGTGTGGGAGCACAGGCAGCACTGTGACTCTAGCTTGTGATCTCCTGACCTCTGTGAGTCGAGATGGCAACCCACCGAAAGCACCTGGTCCGAGATTTTAACCGACACATTACCTGCTCAATTTGTCATGGATACCTGATCAAGCCCACCGCTGTCACAGAATGCCTGCACACTTGTAAGTCATTCATGTTTTGATAATCCGCATTATGTTCTCTTTGACCATCTCTCTTTTCTGATAATAAAAGCAAACCGAATATTTTGGTAGTTTTTTCTTTCTTTGGTGTTGTAATCTTCATTATCAGAAATAAGAATAAACTGGCCTTTTTCTAGAATTGTTTTGTTTCATCATGTGGTGAGTTTATTTATTAGCAAGATTTGTGAAAAAATGTGCATGGTTCAGCAATAGGACCAAAAATAGCTGCTATTATTGTCAATAATATGTAATGGGAAAATTACAACTGTTTGGATGTCTCTTAGACCTACCCATACCTGCTCGTCTGACCTGTCTCATATCTCATATCAAAACCTATTTGTTTCACACTCTGCTTAACATTCAAATTTCCATTTTTGTCTGACCCACCTGAATGATTTTTTTGGCAGAGCTGCTGTGTCTGGGTGTCTAAATAGGGCCCGATAGTCTTAAGATAACTGTATTGTACACTACTGTTTAAAAGTTAGGGGTGAAAGAATGCTCACCAAATCTGTATTTATTTGAATAAAAACACCATAAAAACTTATAACTTAATAAGTTAAAAACTTAAATATTGTAAAAAACAAAAAAAACAATGATTACAGTTTATTCATTTATTCCTGTGATGGCAAAGTTGAATTTTCAGCAGTCATTATTTCACTCTTCGGTGTCACATGATCCTTCAGAAATCATTCTAATATGCTGATTTGGTGCTCAAGATTTTTTTATATATATTATTGTCACTTTTGAAAACACTTTTCACTTATCACTGTTTAATATTTTTGTGGAAACAGTGATACTTTTTTCAATATTTAGTAGAAAGTTAAAAAATAACAGCATTTATTTGAAATATAAATCTTTTTTTAACATTATGTCTTAATTTAATGCATCCTTGCTGGATAAAAATATGAATTTCTTAAAATCATACTGACCCCAAACTTTTAACGGTAGTGTATGTTGAACATATTTTAAATGCAGTGACATTTTGAACATTTTTTTTAGATGTATAATGTATAATAATTATACTAAATATATTATGCTTATTTAATGTTGCTTTTGGTTAGAGTTTTTACTAAATTTTCTAAATTATAGTGTTTTTTCTAGTTTTATTAGTGGCAGTGTAATCTAATCTGTTCAAATGCTGTTTAATGCTGGTACTTTTATTGAGACACTCATTGTTTTTGTCAGATAAATACTGTTCTAAATGAAAAAAAGTAACACCTTGTTACATATGTTACATGTGCTTTTCACAGTAATAACAGTAAAATATGCATAATTACATGCAACGAACCCTCATCCAAACCCTAATCCTACCCTAACCCTATAGTAAGTACATGTTGTTAATTAATATTAATCAGTACTTAAATATATAATTACACTGTAACAATCACACCTTAAAATAATGTGTAACCAAAAAATATCATCTGATAGTTATGTAGTAGGTAAAATAAATAGATTTTTAACAAAAATAATTTCAACACCAAAGTTTTGTATGGTTTTAGAGTACTTTGGCCTGATTATCTCATTCTCTTGTCCCTATTCTGTTCTTCCTTTTCTTCTTATTCCATTATCCTCTAGTTTGTAAGAGTTGTATCGTTCAGCACTTTGAGGAGAGTAATGAGTGTCCAGAATGTGGGATACAGGTCCATGAAACCAACCCTTTAGAGATGCTGAGGTAACCAAACTCACCCGCACTAATTTCTCACATGCACAGATTAAAGGGTTAGTTCGCCCATTTAAGACATGAAGTTGTATGCAATCCTTTCCAGCACTATAGGTCATACACACTGACCCACTCTGTTGTCACCTCCCTGGTCAGAGTTCTGGCCGCTCGAAGTTTTTCAATAAAGTACTCCCGGTTATTTTCCGGGGCCACAAAACTGTGCGTTTTTACGTGAAAAAATGATTTGCGTTTCAAAGCTTGATTAATTTACCACACAAAAAACACGCCGGTCAAAATTCATACCTCAGTTTTAATCGGCACTATTTTCTATCCATTTCTATCAATCCGCGCTGCTGTCAACGTCAACAGTGCGCACGTTCCGATCAGCTGTTGATAACGCGACTCGCTGACAACATGTCTGACTGCGAAACTTCTGATGATGAAACCAATTTTAGCACAATGTCAGACGGATCAGATGATGAAAGTAATTTTAGCACAACGACAATGTTATTGATTGCAACACAAAACCTCAATTGTGTGTGTGTTCAATCAAATAGTTTTCTCAGCAAATTGTACCAATATCCCTATAGGCTATACTGTTTTTATATTAGACATCTTTTCACGTGTTTTATAATGGAGTCTAAACATCAGCTTGTTTACCGTACAGTTTAGACATGGGATCATAAAGTTAGTAAATAGAGCTTACCCGTGTTACTGGTATGCTACAGCAAAACTCTTTAATTGTCCTTTTCCTCCTTGGTTGGGGATGTAATCGTCTTCGCTGAAGTGAGCACTACACACACGAAAATCCTTTATTCTCTGCAACATGACATCATGACTTTGCGTAAACATACACGCCACTTTCAATTCAAGTGGCGTGTTATCTATACGCATTTTGAAATATGAGTAACGTTAGCCGATGGCAACCAGCCAACAACACGCGCTTGCACCCCCTGCTGGTGAGGTCGACTAACAGCAGATGGAGATTATGCTCGGTAGCTGTCTCTAGTTATATTCGAAACAGGAAAACGATGGAATCTGAACTTTGATCCCGGCACATCCTTGTGGTAACAGCCTGGGAATTTACAAGTTCGCACTTTAAATTGCTAATTTAATACTTTTTACGTCGTTGTCAATCGATTGTGTAAACACTATGGAACAGCTGATCGGAACGTGCGCACTGTTGACGTTTACAGCAGCAGCGCGGATTGATAGAAATGGATAGAAAATAGTGCCGATTAAAACTGAGGTATGAATTTTGACCGGCGTGTTTTTTGTGTGGTAAATTAATCAAGCTTTGAAACGCAAATCATTTTTTCACGTAAAAACGCACAGTTTTGTGGCCCCGGAAAATAACCGGGAGTACTTTATTGAAAAACTTCCAGCGGCCAGAACTCTGACCAGGGAGGTGACAACAGAGTGGGTCAGTGTGTATGACCTATAGTGCTGGTAAGGATTGCATACAACTTCATGTCTTAAATGGGCGAACTAACCCTTTAAGTACACACACAAGTCCTCTGTTTTATATGGTATCTTGGCTTCACTTTTTTGCAGACTAGATAAAACCCTGGAGGAGATCATCTTCAAGCTGGTGCCTGGACTAAGAGAGAGTGAGATATATATATATATATATATATATATATATGTGTGTATGGAGAGGGAGAGAGAGAGACAGACATACATACTTTATCCTTTATAATGCACTTCAGAGATACACTCTGTAGGTTATGTAGTTATGCTTTAGTTGGTAAGTGTTTCTATACCTGTAAATTGTTTCTTAATGTACTTTCTTTAAATTATTGTGTTTATTTACTAGAGGAGGAACAAAAGGAAAGTGAGTTTTGGAGAAAAAATAAAATCAAAGCAAATGGAGAAGGTAATAATTAACCATTCCATACACAACCCCTTTACACACACAGTCACATGTACTACACGTACAGTTAATATACAGATATATTTTAAGATTAAAGGTCTGGTTTCCTTTGTCTTCTAGATGGCCCTAGGGCTAAGAAAGCTCACCTGAGTGATGAAGAGGATGATGATGGGAAAGGTGGAGACTACCACAGGAGTGATCCTCAGATCGCTATTTGTCTGGACTGTCTACGTAACAATGGCCAATCAGGAGAAAGCACAGTTAAGGTGCACAGAGACAGTATAGTTTAATATTTTGTGTGTATATGTTGAGATGTATGTTTGTGTGTGTGTGTTTATAATTTGCACCCCATGTCTCTCTGAAACAGGGTTTAATGAAGAAATTCATCCGTTGCTCCACCCGTGTTACGGTGGGAACCATTAAGAAGTTCCTCTGTGTAAAATTGAAGCTGCCATGCTCTTATGAGGTAAAATACTGTTTTATCACAGTATCACTGGGCTGTGTGAGTGTACTGAGAATGAATAGGTTTCTTTCACAGTTCAATACAGATATTAATAAATAAGCTCTTGATGGGTTTACCTGTCAGTTGTGAAACTTAATATTCAATGAAAATTGTTTCTGAGGTTGTTTTTCTTAGCCTCTGCTGTTCTCTACGATGTTTGACTAAGTGTATGTGTAACACACAACATGCCATAGTCTTAACGTGCCTATTATTTGATTTCATAAAGCTCATAAAACAAGCTTGTCCGTATTTCTTACAGCTCGACGTTTTGTGTAATGGGGAGATCATGGGCAAAGACCACACCCTGGAATTCATATATCGCACTCGCTGGAGACTTCAGGGTGACAGCGTAAGTCTGTATGTGTGTGGGTCAAATTTTACCAACATTGTTTGGACTGAATGTCCCCCAAGGATAGTAAAACCAGAATGACTTACATTATATGGACCAGCCTATCACCCCCAGAAGGAAAATGGCTTTATAAACATGCTTAATATTTTCTTAAGTTATTGGAAAGTCACCACTATTATTGAAAAGCAAATGTATGTATATATGTTTATGTGTGTGTTTGCAACATTACCTTTTATTTATTATTTTTTGGGCTGTCAAAGTTACTGTCCACTTAAGCTACAGATTTTTACATTTACAGTCACATTCATCAAGTCTGATAATATTACTGTCTAAAGACTGCTAATCAATCATGAGATTAATTGTGATTATTTTATTCTGGTATTCTAGTTTTTACCAGTAAGAACAAAAACAAAACTGTTTTTGTCACCAAAACACTTACTAAAAAGTATATTTCCCCCCCAGATAACATTTTAAAGCCAGTATAAAATGGAAATGGGAAATCTATTCCACATCTAAATGGGTGTTATTGATCTAATTATAAATGATTCATCCATGCATGTTTAATTTTTTTGGTAACTTGTAATTTTTTATCTTCTCTCATTTAGTCTACTTAAACCTAGCACCTTTCTTACAATCGGCTGCAAGCTCACATTTAGATCTGCCTCCATCCAATCAACAACAAATGGATAGAACCAAGACCCACCATACATTTTTTGCTTTTTCGATTAACTGTTTCACTTGGATATACATCACAATACGGAATAAGAAAAACGGTCACTGCTTTTGTTTCATTGTGTATTCACACAGTATAAATAAATAAAAATATAGCTGCATTTATATTTTAGGATCGCGGATCTTCATATTATATTCAAAATCTTTGGCATTAAAAGGTTTGAAAAACCGCTACTAGAAACATTGACAGGTAAACTATTGAAAAGTTAGTTTGACCCTGAAAATGTCGGTGTGTGCTCATGGTGTGCTCATGAGAAGTGTGAACAGCTGTCTCTGAGTTGGTGGTAGTGGTGGGGCAGAGGCAAAAAAAAAAAAAAAAAAAAAACTGCTCACAGCTACTGACAGATCTATGAGTCATATTTCTCCAGTTAAACACACACACACAGGTACGTCGCTAGTGGGGTGAAAGGTAGTGACAATTATAGGGGCACAAAATCCAGCAGTTACTATATAGGCCCCTGTTGTATGAATAATTCTAATATTTATATTAGTTGTATGCCTGAGATTTAAATGAAAACCACGAAATCATGCAATTTGGTTAAATATTTTTTCCAAAATCTGTTTCTCTTACCTCCCTAAAAATGGTTTAGTCCGATCTAAAGTACTTATTGATTATTCAGTCAGTGACAAACATCAGATGGACCCAATAAAATTGTAAGTCCCACCCACCCCAGCTCGTGAACAGAACCAATCAGAGTTGAGGCGGCATGCCTGAAGTTAACGATGAACTTGGTGGAAGAGCAGGAGACTGACTGACTGAAAAATGTCGGGGAAAAGAAAACATAGATCATGGTACCAGAAACGCCACGAAAAGAAGGAGAGGGAGGCCAGGAGAGTTGTTGTATCCCAGTCGATCAAGACGTTCTTAAAGACTAACTAAGACTGTATTGTTATTTAGCTGGGAATAAAAACTACCGTCTACACTACTGTCACTTTTCATTATCTGTGCGCACCACAATCGACCGAATGATAAAAAATAAGACAATAAATGATTTAACTGCATTCTTGTGAATTTCTAAATGTTTACTTTTGATATAGCTATGGATTATAATAGACTGATGGGGGGGAAAAAAACATTATTTTGCTGTTACTTTTTTAAAATTGGTTTTATTATTATTGAACAATTTCTTGCTTTTTGTTAGTTTTTATTAGTTGTAATTTTTATATAAACATTTAACTTTTAAAATAAAGGTTTTACAACAACATCACCATGCTCATCTATTGTACAGTATATGATACGAATCCTCTAGCTATGGCCCTGCATACACACACACTAGAGGTTGATACAAAATCAGATCAGAGGACACATTTATGCCCGTAGGTTTGTGTCCTTGCCTTTTACAACACAAGAAAATAGGAGAGAACTATGACAATATAATGGATATGATATGGTGCTTACATCAGAAAATGTGAAGTCATTCTTTACTTTCGTTTTCACCCCAGGCTTATCCCATGGTTCTCGAATACCGTCCGAGGATTGACTTTGGTTAAACAGCACTTACAGCTTTTGTGGAAATCTCATGCAGACTGATGTCAAGAGATGGACAAAAAGCAGAAAAACTGAATGATTGTGCCTCTGTTGAAAGTCAACAACACAAAGCTCCATGACTGACAGGACTGCTCTCCTTCCTCTGCACTGCTTCAGCCTCTACTCCTCCATTCCTCCCTCCTTCATGTTCCTGTTTGACAGTTGTGGCTCCGCCCACTGGCACTGTATCAAGTTTGATGATTATATTCCTCCAAAGCTTTCTCTGCATGTTGTCTCTATGACAACGCCTTAGCGTTCAGCGGCCCGTTGGGATTATCTGATAGCAATCTAGCAATCACAGAAAGTAAGCTAAAACTCGTCGCAAAGCTGCGTCTTGGCCAGGTGACAGGAGAGAGAGAAAATGGAGACGTTTTTAAAATGAAGTCTCGCTAGAAGGTAGATTTTAGAATGTTTTATTAGGTGTTTTTATCCAAGATTTTGCACTAGAGGCAAATCCAAATGTCTCGCTGTAGTGTTCCTGTTCTGTCTTACCTTTTACACTCTCTCTCTTTACTTTTAGTTACTTTTCTTTCCTGCTCTAACCGCCCACATTGTCCCTCATAAATTCAGTGACTATTTTTCATGTCATCATTCTCTCTCTCTCTCTCTTTCTTTCGCTCACGCACACTCACTCTCTCTTTCTCAGCCAATTTCCATCTTCCCTCATACTCATTTTTTTCTCCAATGGTGTTTTTGGCTCTAGTCTGAAGTATTGATGGATCTCATTCAGATGGAATTGAATGAAAGCGCTGTAGATGTCCCAAAATAACAGCACTGAAAGGCACTCTGGGTAAGCATTTTTCCTTCACACTGTGAAGGCCAAGTCTTACATTTACCCAAACCAGATCGTTTTCTTAATAGAAATGATATAAGATTAACTGATGCCAGATATGCTTAATGCATTAATTCATTGAAAATTCTCATCTTTAAAAACAGCTGAATGGGGAATGACTGAAGGGTTCCAGCTGCATCTATCTAAGAGCCGCTTTGGCTCACAGTCTGTTAGTTGTAAACATTCTGTTATTTCCTGTTTAATCAGAAATATATTTGAGACATTCCAATGAAATCCACCTCAATAGATGTTTGAATTTTAAAACCCAGAATGTCAATAATGCACTTTTTACAGTGTATTTTGAGTGTAATGCAGCAAAATAATGCTATACTGATGCAACAATGTTTGGTTAAACAAAATGAAGTGGAAAACGTGCACTTTCTAAAAATTTGTGATGTCTGGAAAAACAACTGCGCAAGGGACATGCAATAATGCATTTTTCTACTTCCACAAAGTGGAAGAAAAGTTAAAATCCAATATTTCGCAATGTGGTCCTCTACTACGCTATATCAAGTCATGGACATGATTCTGAGGAGAGTTTAAAATTCAGTCATCACGTTTTAAATATTTTAAATATTAAGGGTGTTTTTCGAGCATTAGTTCAGATAAGTTCATGATAGGTTAGCTTTCTAAGTTTGTTTACATGACAGTGTAAATCTTTACTGTATGTGTAGTGGCCTAGAATCATTTAAAATCATAATTACAAGTAAATGATCGTCAAACTGAAAAAGTTGCCAAACCGATTTCATGCATATTCTCAGAATGCTTTTTGAGAATTAAGGGTTCAAACCATGGAGCTTTGCCAATCCAGATTATATTCCACAAAAAATGTATGTGATGGTACTCAAAGTAGAAAAGGATTACATGAATCATTACGTAAACCTTTGATTTGGATCATCTCAGGGGGTGACGACGGGTGAAATGAGGGTTTGTTCTGTGTTCTCCAGTTCAGTCTTGGAATCAAGGAATCTTAACAATGGGTGTTTGAAATTAGAGTTGCTTCAGTGCTGTAAGTCATTACAGTTAATCAAAAGATGAATATAGAATGAGTCTGAATTGCTCAGCAACACTGTTTTAAGTGGATTGTACCTATGTCTACCAATAGTAAAAATATATTTGTCCAAATGTTTCTTATGACAAGCTAAAACTTCATGTTATACCAACATGATCTATTGTACTGAATCTTAAAAATCATTTGCACTGTCTGTCAGTTCAGTGGAATTCTTGACGTTGTTGTTTAGGACAAAGGCCACTGGCTGCTTTCCCAAATCCAATTTCCTCCCCACTAAGAAAACATGCAAATCAAATATGAAGTGTCTTTGAGCTCTGATTATAAATACAATGTATTTTTGTATGTTGACGCACTTATGTATATTTGAACCTATAATCAGAAGATTTTGTCAATGCTTGTCTTTTTCCTAATAGATGATGCTGCTTGGGGTAATTTATTCTTTTTTTATACGTCCCACCGCCTGCTATGTGTGTTCCCCTTGTAAATGTTCGCAATGTACATGAAAAGCTACCAAATGCTGTTCATTACATATTGTTATTTAATTAATGAACATTAAAATATGACAAAAAATAGTGGGGTTTCTTCGACTGTACTCCAGAAACATTAGACTTTTTCTGTAAACATTCTGAAAGCTGCCTATTATACTTGCATGACAGTATAACTTGCCGTTAGATCTAGTCGACTTCTTAGATTGAAGAATTTTAGAAGTCTTTGCATTAAATACTAATATTAAAATATACTGAGGGCAGCAGACCTTAAAACAGAGAAGCTAAACCTTTGAAGTTGTTGAAAGCCATTCTTCGAAACCACCATTTCAAGTGTGTGATGATATTAGTGTGTGAGAGTTTAAATCTGACAATGAAAAACAAAGACAAGAATGTGCCTTCTTTTAGACTGTTTCTATGCACAGCTCCCTGCTTCTCTCTCTCTCTTTCTCGCTCACTTTCTTTCTCCCCCACTCATGCAAAAGGAAGTGGAATGTGACATGCATTCTTCTTTTAGTCTGTGCATCACTTGTTCAGCTGTCTGTTTGCCCTGCCGTTCATCTCGCAAAAGAGAAGGTCAAAAATACATAATGTAGGGCAAAGGCAACACACACTTAATCACAAATATGTCCATGCCCATGCAGCAACACTTATTTTATTGTAGTTATGAGCTGAAGTTGTTCAAATGTTTGCTGTTGGATTTTAGAAGAGCTGTCAGCAATAAGGTTGTTTGAATGTTTACAGTACATTGCAAGTGTTTGCAGATTTTGTAAACTGTGAAATAAATCATTGACCCAAAATTCTTTAAACGTGAAATCTACATAATGAGATGTTAATGTCAACATAGACAAGAATATAAACATGTTCAAAACACACGTTCATCCCACAAATGTAAATAAACAAAGAAAGTCTGCCACTGTATCTCTTTTTTTGTCTTCCCTTTCATCATGAAATGTTACAAACAACTCTATTTTTAGTCAGGATGAGTTGGAGAATTCACCGCTCATTTGTTAAACGGAGAAAGTGAGACTAAATCCCTCCGCCCCCTGCTAATACCTCAACATTAAACCATTACAGAAAAAAGGAAGGGAAGCAGATTGTAGTTTTCATTCAATTTACATGGTTTAAAGTAGGAATCCCATTTCATCCACAAGCATACATATGGTGTTTAAAGGGATAGTTCACCCAAAAATGAAAATTCTGTCATTAATTACTTGCCCTCATGCCTTTCCAAACCTGTAAGGCTTTCGTTCATCTTCGGAACACAAATGAAGATCTTTCTAACAAAATCTGAACCAGTTCTGTACTCTCCATTGACAGCTACACAACTACCACTTTGAAGCTTCAAAACGTTCATAAAGAAATCGTAAAACTAATCTATATGAATTAAGTGGTTTAGTCCAAATTTTCTGAAGAGAGAAGATTGCTTTATATGATGAACAGACTGAATTTAGGCTTTTATTCACATATAAATATTGCATAATAATATAAAATAATATAATAAGTGAACGTAAACAGAAGCTCAACAGAACCTGCTTGACCTACGAAAACAAACCTCATTCTTCTTCTTCAGTGAATTTTATTGGCAGCTTGCAATCTTTGTTCATTACCACCATCTACTGGACTGAGGTGTGATCACATTGGGACGTGAAAAATAATTGAACCTTTAACATCCCAGAGGATCAAGCCCAAGCCCAAGCTTCAGCTGGCGCTGCGTGTTCAGCTCCTCCAGCTTCAACCTCAGCTCAACCTCCAGGAAAAAATAATAATAATAAAAAAATAAATAAAAAATAACCTCATTGGTTCTCTTGCACGCGAATATGCGTTGTCATGCTTACTTGACCTGTAGTGCTGAACCGGAAATAAAGTGAATGAGTTCACCCCCAGTAAAATGACTGTTGTGTATGTGACATGGTGTCAGAACAGAAGTAAGTCTATCGTTAATTTAATACACAAGGAGTAGAACATTGTACGGCGGCCGACTATTTTCCAATGGAGGTTCTACACTATAAGTCACCCGAGCCGTTGGATTTCGACTGTCCTAATGTGAGCGCCGCGTGGAAGAAGTGGCAGCAACGTTTCGCCCTGTTCCTCACAGCATCGGGAAACAGTGACTCATCTTCAGCTAAAAAGGTTGCTATTTTGCTCACGATACTGGGAGAGAGAGGATATGATATATATAGTAACTTTAGGTGGGCATCGGCTGAAGGTGATAGAGACGCGGGAAATCGTAATGACTTTGATACTGTGCTCAGAAAATTCGAGCAGTATTCCAACACGAGGAATCCAGTTTTGGCTCTGCGTGCACAGTTTTGGGCATACCAGAGACCTGAAGGCCAGGGTTTAGAAGCATTCGTGAATGATCTCAGGACGATGGCAAGTAACTGTCAGTTTACTGATTTAGAGACCACGCTACGAGACAAATAATTTTTCTCCATAAAAGATCCGGCAATGAAAATGAAAGTAATGGGTGATGACGGCAATGCATCCCTTGAAGTAGTGACACAGCAAATGCGCACGTTTGAGAGCGCTAAGCGGGAACTTGATATGATACAAGGCAAGTCGCCGCAAACCCCTGACAAGTCAGTTCACACTCTAAACACCTACACGCGAGGCAGAGACTGTGGACGTTATCGAGGACGAGGGAAACAGCGCGTGCAGTCAGCACAAGCTAGTAACCACCTGCAGAGTGGAGCTACCGCTAAAGCAACACAGCACATGTCCAACGCATGCAGCAGATGTGGTACAACACATCAACCTCGCAACTGCCCTGCGTTTGGTAAGGAGTGTCGTCGCTGTAAGAAATTAAACCACTTTGCAGATCTATGTCAAGCCAGAATGCCTAGCTATCGTAGCAGGGGTCATGGTCGTGGAGCATCAACTGTACACACAGTGGAGTCTGATTTCGAACATTTCTTTATAGACTCAATGGCACATGATCTCAGTGATCCCTGCTGGTATGAAGAGGTAATTGTTAATGAGGACAAGATTAAAATGAAGTTAGATACAGGAGCAGATACAAACTGTATGCCACTGTCACAGTTCAGACAGCTAACAGAATACACCAGCATCCCTGTTTACAAGTCTTCAGCTAGACTGTCAGGATATGGAAAGCACAGCATAGAGCTGAGCATTTTAGTTAATCTAAAATGCTCATAATCGTCTTAAAGAAAAACTTGATGATATGGAAGCAGCCGGCGTTATCCGTAATACATCAAAACCCACAGACTGGGTCAACAGTCTTGTGGTAGTGGAGAAGAAAGATGGCTCACTTTGTTTATGCCTTGACCCTAAAGATCTGAATCGCGCCATTAGAAGGGAACACTTCATGATCCCAACCAGCTCTGATGTGATCAGCCAGATGTCAAGGAAAATAATGTTTGCGGTGCTTGATCAGACAAGTTCATACTGGCAAGTTCCACTCACTGAAGCCAGTACAGACCTGTGCACATTCAAAACTCCCTTTGGGCGATATTCCTTCCAGAGAAAGCCATTCGGAATATCAAGCGCCAGCGAAGTCCTACAGCGAAGAAACCAGATGGTTTTTGGGGACATCCCAGACGTGCATATTATAGCAGATGATTTGATTGTCGCCTCACTAGATGAGAAACAACATGACAAGACATTACATGATGTGATGCAGCGAGCTAAATCCATGGCCTGTAAGTTCAACAAGGAAAAGATCAAATTCAAGAGGTCTGAACTCGTGTACATGGGCCATGTGATCAGCAGGGAAGGTCTGAAGCCCGACGAGTCAAAAGTGAGAGCCATAACTGACATGCCTGACCCAACTTCAAAATAGGATCTTCTAAGGATCATGGGCATGATCAATTACTTGTCACAGTTCATACCTAATCTGTCCACAACGACAACGCCACTACGTAGTCTACCCAAGAAAGATACAGCATGGACATGGGAACCGCAGCATGCAGCAGCTCTCAAGATGTTGAAAACACTTATCAGCAGCAAGCCAGTGCTCAAGTTTTTTGACATAACCAAAGACACTGTGATACAGTGTGACGCGTCATCAACCGGTCTTGGAGCCTGTTTGCTGCAGGATAGTCATCCTATTGCATACGCATCTCGTTCTCTGACCACATCAGAACAAAATTACTCTCAAATTGAAAAGGAGCTGCTGGCAATCTGTTTCGCAAATGAAAAGTTCAACCAGTACGTGTATGGCAGACCAGTGACAGTACAGTCCGACCACCGCCCGCTCGAGATGATTATCAGGAAGCCACTGCACAAGGCTTCACCAAGGCTCCAGCAAATGTTGTTACGCCTGTTGAAATACAACATCGATGTGAAGTACCACCCTGGAAAACATATGTACATTGCGG